AAATAATCTTTTCACTATACTGTTTCTATAAATTAGGACAGTTTGCTATGGCTATATGCCTTAGCCTAAAAAATACTCAGTTATTTCTCATATAAAAATAATCTTTTCACTATACTGTTTCTATAAATTAGGACAGTTTGCTATGGCTATATGCCTTAGCCTAAAAAATACTCAGTTATTTCTCATATAAAAATAATCTTTTCACTATACTGTTTCTATAAATTAGGACAGTTTGCTATGGCTATATGCCTTAGCCTAAAAAATACTCAGTTATTTCTCATATAAAAATAATCTTTTCACTATACTGTTTCTATAAATTAGGACAGTTTGCTATGGCTATATGCCTTAGCCTAAAAAATACTCAGTTATTTCTCATATAAAAATAATCTTTTCACTATACTGTTTCTATAAATTAGGACAGTTTGCTATGGCTATATGCCTTAGCCTAAAAAATACTCAGTTATTTCTCATATAAAAATAATCTTTTCACTATACTGTTTCTATAAATTAGGACAGTTTGCTATGGCTATATGCCTTAGCCTAAAAAATACTCAGTTATTTCTCATATAAAAATAATCTTTTCACTATACTGTTTCTATAAATTAGGACAGTTTGCTATGGCTATATGCCTTAGCCTAAAAAATACTCAGTTATTTCTCATATAAAAACAATATTTTCACTACTGTTTCTATAAAGGGCAGTTTGCTATGGCTATATGCCTTAGCCTAAAAAATACTCAGTTATTTCTCATATAAAAACAATATTTTCACCACTGTTTCTACAAAGGGCAGTTTGCTATTGCTATATGCCTTAGCCTAAAAAATACTCGGTTATTTCTCGTATAAAATTTTTTTCGCTCGCTACTGTTTCTGAATATATGCCTTAGATTAAAAATACTAAATTATTTCTCATATAAAAACAATATTTTCACTACTGTTTCTATATAGGGCAGTTTGCTATGGCTATATGCCTTAGCCTAAAAAATACTTAGTTATTTCTCATATAAGAATAATCTTTTCACTACTGTTTCTATAAAGGGCAGTTTGCTATTGCTATATGCCTTAGCCAAAAAGTAATAAGATTAATAAGTACACTACATTATATTGCATGCCATGTGTATAAGGGTGTGGCACTAGCTGTACTTGGTATTTCTTGATTGACTTTAAAAAATTGATTTCACTGCTGCTTCTATATAGAACAGCTGTGATGCTATCACTATATGTTTTAGCTAATAAAATATAGACTGTGCAGTTTATTAAAATGTCATTTCTATGTCATTTCTATTGGAATTATTTTAAGTGCTGTTTCTATAAAGAGCAGCGATTACCTTTGATATATGCTTAATTAAGCCTTCAAAAAACAAGGCCACATTGTACTTAGGTCTCTTATGGCTCAGTTTAAGACCAACATGAGTGATTGAGAACTCGACTAGCTTAGGTAAGGCATCAAACGTGAAATCCACGCACTAAGCCCCTTGGGTCGGACCCCAAACCTCTTTTCGTCATCAAATTCTAAATTATCCCACCTTACCACACCGTATATTGGTGGATATCTTGGGCAAATGTGCATTATCATGGTGGATATCTTGGGCAAATGTACTTTATCACGAGGGATATCTTGGGCAAATGTGCTTTATCACGAGGGATATCTTGGGCAAATGTGCATTACCATAATGGATAAATTGGTACGATCATTTATTAACTACATTGCTAAAGAAAGACGTCACAAGGTTAGTGGAATTCCCTGTCATTAGGAGCAAAGTAAGCAGCAACAATATGGCGGGAACAATATGGCGGTTTGTAGTAATATGGCGAACAATATGGCGGATTGTAACAATATAGCAGATTGTAACAATACGTGAATTAATATGCAACAATGAAGCGCGTAATATAGGAATTTAATTTTTATTTATGATTTTCTATAAATGGGGCCCCCAAATAGTCAATGTGATCTAATAATATATAATTGATAGATTCTATTTGTTGTAATTAGAAAATGATATAGCGTTTCTGTAATATATGTAACAATACATTCAGTTTGGTAAAATAGATTTCGGACATATTTTTTGTAATATAATTTAAATCGTTCACTTGTATTTTCATGTAATAAGATGTGTGTTTAATGTTTTATAAAACATGTTGAATTCATTTGTAATATAACATACATTTAACTCAATTCTGTATACGAGTATTTCCGTAATGTACATATTTAGAGTGAAAAGAGCATCATTTTTTGTAATATATTTTAAATATTGTGAATACATGCGACTCACAAAAAAAAAGTGTCCGTGACCGGGGCTGAATCAAGTACTTTACATTTCTGTTAAAATGCCGAACAAAAATGAATATTCCAAAGTTTCAAGCCTAATTTTTAGTTGTTAAACCTAATCAAAATGACGTCGTTGAAATGAAAATACAAATTTGACAAAACATGCATGCACCTACCGTTCAACAAAATCATGTTCAATTTTGTAAGTGTTTAAAAAGGGACCAGTGAGTACAGGCACACTACTTCATTTCGAACACAATTGCAATGATAAAAAAAAATTTTTGGGAACGATATTTTAACTAGAACCGCTCGGGATTATGAAAAAACGTTTTGTAAGATATATATCGACAGTTCATATTACGACAAAATGAATGTTATATTCAATGAATTAAACAACATTTATAAAATTATTGCTAACTCTTGTCCTGTGTAATAATTACACAACAAGGTTGGAGTTGGCTGCGGGTTTCCGCGAATCAACTTTTGTGAGATTCAAATGGTTCACTGTTGAGCCAGCAGCTCAGGGGGACTGAGGATATTGCATGAATCTACCGAAAGTATTTTGATTCGATCGGGATAGTATATCCTATTTTCTTTCTGTTGACATCAACAATTTTCCCATTTTTGCTACATTTCGAAATTGAGAACCAATAGTAGTACTTATTCGTCTCTAGGTTAAATTCCTAGAACACTTTATCATTATAAGGGTTTGAGTCGCATGTTATCGTCGATGGTATAATTTATTAAATTTTAGAACGTTTCAAACGAACGGCTGTCGGAAATAATATTGCCTGCACTTGGGGGCCGAACTTGAACGTATTTCAAGGAAAATAAGCCGCATTAAAAACATTAACACATTTCCCCCACTTTTTTTCTCCCAAAAAATGTCCCCATTTTCTTACCATTAAAAATATCCTTTTTTTTCACTTTTCTCTACCAAAAACTATCTCCTTTTTGACGAAATTGAACTTAAAGTGGTTAGAAATCCAAAGATTTTCAAATGCCAGAACTCAGCTTTCAAATGCCAGAACTCAGCTTTCAAATGCCAGAACTCAGCTTTCAAATAGCAGAACTCAGCTTTCAAATAGCAGAACTTAGGTTTCAAATGCCAGAATTTAGTTTTCAAATGCCAGAATTTAGTTTTCAAATACCAGAACTTAGTTTTCAAATACCAGAACTTAGTTTTCAAATACCAGAACTTCCTTTTCAAATACCAGAACTGCCTTTTTCAAATACGAGAACTGCCTTTTTTTCAAATACGAGAACTGCCTTTTTTCAAATACGAGAACTTTGTTTTCAAATGCCAGAACTTTGTTTTCAAATGCCAGAACTTTGTTTTCAAATGCCAGAACTTTGTTTTCAAATACCAGAACTTTGTTTTCAAATAGAGAACTTTGTTTTCAAATACGAGAACTGCCTTTTTCAAATACGAGAACTGCCTTTTTCAAATACGAGAACTGCCTTTTTCAAATACGAGAACTGCCTTTTTCAAATACGAGAACTGCCTTTTTCAAATACCAGCACTCTTTTTTCAAATACCAGCACTCTTTTTTCAAATACCAGCACTCTTTTTTCAAATACCAGAACTTAGTTTTCAAATATCAGAACTTAGTTTTCAAATATCAGAACTCCCTTTTCAAATACCAGAACTCCCTTTTCAAATATCAGATACTCCCTTTTCATTTACCAGATACTCCCTTTACAAATACCGGAACTCCCTTTTCAAATACTAGAACTCCCTTTTCAAATACTAGAACTCCCTTCTCAAATAAATGAGGTTTAAAACCCCCTCTTTGCTTTTATGCCATATTTGGCGACATTTTCGAAAATTAAAAAGGTAACCTGGACGGAAAGTTAAGGAGTTAGCCTTTACTATTTTGTCATATTTAATCACGTTTTGAGAAATCGTAAAAGTGGCTTCAACGGGCGAAACGTTGAAGGGTTAGCGATTTTAAACGCACTGTGTCCTCGGAACATCTAAACTCAATGTCATGCGAGTTTATTAAATAGTTTATTGACATTATTTTCTTGACAATTCTTGACATGTTTCCGCTATTATGTCGTACAAAAATACATGTTTAATATAAAATACTATGCGTCTTAAATATTCTATTGTTAGTCTAATTCAATTTTAAAGATTTAATTGAAGCATGCAAGTCTATCGCAGCCCTATAGCAACTGCTGCACATGGTAAGGCAACGTTTTCCTCTGAGCGTAGAATTTTAACATGGAATTTCACATCGGAAATAAAAATTTCATATGTGAAAATGGTATTTCATAGGCTTGGGCGGTTTTGCTTAAAATCAAAACCGAAAAACCGTCTGATTCTAAACCGGTAAAACCGAAAAACCGTTTTTTTCCCTTTAATTTGTATTTCAACTGTATGAGGAGGAATTGTGGTATTTTTCTGTCATAAGCAAACGAACAGTACATGACAAAACGCAAAATTGTGCAAAGGTAACCTAAAACGACTTCAGTTTTAAAATAAAAGGGTCAAGAACGCATTTGAAAACTTGTATCACTTCGGAGTTTAATTGGTGTCATGTTTTGAGAATTAAGATCGAGTTTCAGGCGACTAGAACTCCCTTCTCAAATAAATGAGGTTTAAAACCCCCTCTTTGCTTTTATGCCATATTTGGCGACATTTTCGAAAATTAAAAAGGTAACCTGGACGGAAAGTTAAGGAGTTAGCCTTTACTATTTTGTCATATTTAATCACGTTTTGAGAAATCGTAAAAGTGGCTTCAACGGGCGAAACGTTGAAGGGTTAGCGATTTTAAACGCACTGTGTCCTCGGAACATCTAAACTCAATGTCATGCGAGTTTATTAAATAGTTTATTGACATTATTTTCTTGACAATTCTTGACATGTTTCCGCTATTATGTCGTACAAAAATACATGTTTAATATAAAATACTATGCGTCTTAAATATTCTATTGTTAGTCTAATTCAATTTTAAAGATTTAATTGAAGCATGCAAGTCTATCGCAGCCCTATAGCAACTGCTGCACATGGTAAGGCAACGTTTTCCTCTGAGCGTAGAATTTTAACATGGAATTTCACATCGGAAATAAAAATTTCATATGTGAAAATGGTATTTCATAGGCTTGGGCGGTTTTGCTTAAAATCAAAACCGAAAAACCGTCTGATTCTAAACCGGTAAAACCGAAAAACCGTTTTTTTCCCTTTAATTTGTATTTCAACTGTATGAGGAGGAATTGTGGTATTTTTCTGTCATAAGCAAACGAACAGTACATGACAAAACGCAAAATTGTGCAAAGGTAACCTAAAACGACTTCAGTTTTAAAATAAAAGGGTCAAGAACGCATTTGAAAACTTGTATCACTTCGGAGTTTAATTGGTGTCATGTTTTGAGAATTAAGATCGAGTTTCAGGCGATTACAGTAAACAATTACGTAATGACGGTTTTCCGGTTTTTGTAAAAGCTAAACCGAAAAAACCGGTTTGAAAATAAAACCGAAAAAAAAACGAAAAACCGGTAAACCGCCCAAGCCTAGTATTTCACATATGAATTTACCATATATGAAATCAAAGCACATGTGAAAATTTCGATGTGAAATGAAATCACACATGAAATCTAGCTAGGGCGTTGACCATCTACGGTGGATAGCTACCAGGGGTCCCGCATGGTTATCAATAATTATCCATCTAACACAGTCTGGTTAATTTGACCACGACATGAGTCAAATTAAACGTACTGTATACATCTTCAATGTAACAGTTACTTTTTATCACGCTTTCTAAGTTCTTGTCTCAAATACTTCAGTTCGACCTCATACGAAGCAACTTTATCCGTAATACAGCTAATGTATCCTTCAGCATCATCCAGTTTTTCGCTAAGCTCAGCCGCCCTCTTCCGCTCGTCGCGAAGCACCGAATCCAGCTGGTTATTGTCCGTAGAGAGGTTTTTAAACCCCTGTTCGTAAACTGACAACGTTTCTTGGTGTTTTAAGAGTTCACAGTTGAGATTCATAACTTCGGATTCTCGCTCGTTAATTTTTAATAGAAGTTCTTTATTCGATAAAACCACTTCTTGTAGTTGTGTTTCGTAGTCGCATAAAACCTTCTGGTAGTGTTCCAGTTTAGCGCTCAAGTCTTTAATTTTCTGGTCGTCTCGTGCGTACAAGGTATCTCCAGAGTCTTGACCGTTAACTTGCTCCAGTCCGTTTATAGACGATCTCTTGTCATTATGTTTTATCCTTTTGTCACCACCACTGTCCGTGGTTTTGTCAGTATTTAGGAACCTGAATTAACAAAGAACAAACCGTAAACCTTATGCCATAATGTGCCTCTGCCCCCCCATCTCCATAATGTGCCTGTGCCCCGCCCCTTCCCGCTGTGGGATTCCATTTGCTTTACAAAATTTGAAATTTTCATTGTGCTTACGGTCCTACTTGCTTTTCAACAAATTTCCAAAGTTTTAGAAAATTTGAATATTTTGCGCCACTCCAAGAGCTGTCTAGTATAAATAATGCAGTTTAACCCCATACCTTAGAATGCTTTCATTCTGTTGCGCTTTCTCTCTTAAACATTTATTTTCATCCCTCAAATCCTGTAATTCGTCCCGCAACGCTCGACTCCGTCCTTCGCTGCGCCGCAACGCCTTGTCCAAAGTCTTCAGCATCTCATCTCTGGACTGTGTTCGTTCCTTTATAGTTTTGTAATTTTTCAAGATTGTTTCCATGTGCGGTAGTACGTGTTTGAGGTTACCCTGTAGGTATGTATCAAAACGTGTCATGACGAAGGGAATGCGGTCCAGAAATCACAACAGGCACAGAGGACAACTCTGAGCTAAACTAACTTTACTTAAACTGGATATCTTCAATTAATAAGGGCCATTCCTTACTATTTTTCCTTATTGTGATTTAATATGATAAAACGATAGTTCATTTATTATATAGCATATACCAACCTGAATAGTATTGAGCTGCTTTAAAGTAGTTTCTATTCTTTCCCCAAAGTACAGTCCATCGCTAGCATCATGGCCCATTCCCTGTTCACACTGAAAATGAAACAATGAATTGAAGGCATTTCCTAAGTAATTCATTAGATTTTTTCTGTCTTGGTGTCATATACTCAGGTGAATATGATGCTTGTGATGTTACTCTGAGTGTATATCCACACCGGACAAGCTTGAAAAATATGCCTGACCATGGTGGGAATCGAACCTACGACCTTTGGAACACTAGCCCAATGCTCTGCCATCTGAGCTACGCGGTCAGGTCGGTTCGAGTATGTGATATTTCGGAACAGAATTAATCTATAGTTCCTTCGATATCAATGTAATCTAGGAACTAGATTCTGTTCCGAAATATCACGTACTCGAACCGACCTGACCGCGTAGCTCAGTTGGCAGAGTATTGTGCTAGTGTTCCAAAGGTGGTAGGTTCGATTCCCACCGTGGACAGGCATATTTTTCAAGCTAGCGCTTGCCCGGTGTAGATATACATGCGGAGTAACTCACAAGCATCAATTCATGAGATTGTTTAACATAATATAATGCCTTTGGCAGACATACTATAATGCCTTTCTTTTTTGACTGAAGAGATTATCCTATCTGAATATATTTGAACATAACAAAATTACAAATTCCTTAAAATCTTCACCTAGCTTGGCAAGAGAAAATTTCTTATAAGATGACGATGCTTTCGTACCTCATTACTGTGTTCCACGTTTCCATTCTTTTTATCTAAAATTTCCAGTAATATTTTGGCCGGTCGAGAAAGACTCTCTGATATCTAGTGAATGAAGAGAAATTTTGAACCTTTAGTCTATAGAAACTTTTTAATTGTGGTGGATATGTCATTCAACGCTGGTGCATGTGCATGGTTGTTCCTGAACTACTTCATAAAAATGGCAACAGTTGACAGTTCAACGTTTCGAGGGAAGCTGTTCCTTCTACCGGTTCTACGTTATTAGAGACCTTAAATTTACGACGGCAACGCGACGGCAACGGCTACCAATACAATAAATCATTGAAAAGAATTAAGTAATTACAATATATGAATAATTTAGTCATTGTCCTCGCTCTGTTTGCAACGTCAAATCACAGATTTTCACGTGTTGATACAACGGCTGCATTTCAAGCCCCAACAAGTGCAACTTCAAACTGGGTTTAGGCTAGCAGAACTCTTCCCAACCATAAAACCCATGTCTTCAATTTATAAGACTGTATTAAATTCACACGATTGATAATATACGACGAATTATCTTTACTACCATTTATTTGAAGGAGTTTGTTTTGGTCGTCGTCGCGTTGCCGTCCTAAAATCGTAACGTCTCTAATTACTGCCTGAGAAAGAGCGTTCCCTCAAAACTTCAAAGAATATATTATAATCTTCTTCAAGTATTTCAGATACAAACCACGACAGCTTATTGTGGACATACAATATTCAATCATTTAACTGTAATTTTACCTGATTAAAAGTGTCTACTAAACCATTTAAATCGACTGAATTGCTTCCTAAAATATGATAGAAAATAATTGACAGTATTAACGGTATATTTAACTGCCGATCTAGTTACCTATGATTAACTATCCAATTAACTAATTAATTAATTAATCAACTAAATAGTAACTAACTTGTGACTGCTCATTACTCACTGATATATACTTACTAACGAACACGAACTAATTAACTGGTAACTAAACTGAGTAACTAATTAATCAGTAGACAATTAACTAACTCACTGTCGTATTAACTGCAGACTAACTGGCTAATTTGTAACCTAAGTATATAAACGAATTAACTAACTAGGAACCAAGCCTTGGAATACCTAGCCAACTAACTTGCTAATGAGAAACTAACTAGCTATAGCTAACCAACTAACTAACTAACTAACTAGCCAAATAAGTTACAAGATTAACAAGCTAATAATAAGATTATGATTCCCACTAATTAAAAAAGTAAGACAAACTAGCTGACCAACCAATTAAATTGCCAACTACTGCAGTAAATTATCCACATGCCTTCATGTTCTTTTCCATTCTGTTGATCTGCGTTCTCTTTCCTATTGCTTAACTTCGTTCCTTGAACTGCAGGAGGAACAGGAAGACTGGATGATCTACGATGACCACAGCACCGAGGTAATGTCGGTCCATTAACAGCTGTGAAGATTGCACACCATGTGTGAATGCGTAGGGCAGATTGTGCTTAAAAATTGGGCCATTGTAAGGGAAGAACGGCGCGCATAAAATTGGTAGGAATACGAACGTCGGGCAAATTCGTGGTCGCTTCCCCAATTTCTTTTCTCGCACGCACATTCTTACAAACGGTAAGAAAGATAACTGAGTGTCCGTCCTGTCACAAATACTGGATGCAATTTGAGGCAAGACAGACAGTTTCCTCTCCAGGCGCGTGGGAGCGGAGGGATCGTTTTAAATTTCGGAAATAGTTGTCATGGTTTAAGATAATTATTACCTTATACAGCCATTTCAATTGAGGTTGTCCGCGAGCAAAGCGGAAAAGTCGAATACGAGCGCGACAATGTTTATTCATGCATTCATTTGAATGGCACAACAACTTAATACAAATTCTCAACTGTCAAAACTTTATTCAAAATGTCTTTCGTTTTGACGCTTGCCAGGCACATATTAATTGCCACCGATTCTTGGACGCAAGATCTTGGAATTTAGACAAAATGACGTGGATTAAATTCACAAATAGGATCAAACGATAAGACAGAATTAGCATTACACTAATGACACCTGCTGTCGTGTCACTCATCGCATGACACAAATGTGGCTGGTACTGTAAAATACGAAATTTTACAAGAAAAATCGTGTACAATACAGATATGATAGCTATTATATTATAGAGACAAAGAATATACACGTCAATTTAAGACAATCGCACAAAGACAATTGATCACAAACTAACATCCCACAACAAATCTATTTGCTTAATAAACATCTAATATCATAAATTTCGGTCAGAATTTAATCACAAGATGCACAGTGCCGACTCTCGATCATAATCTATCGTTGTAAATTAATGAAACAAAAGACGTTTTAATACGCACTTGTGTCTTTATGCTTGGTTACCGTTAGGCGGGTACGATATCGGCTTGTTGAATTAGTATTTTGTCAATAAATGAAAATAAAAGATATCGTCTTCGTTTGTATTCAGCAATATAGAAAGAAAAAGTAAATAGTACCAAATGTAAGCCACTTTATAGATGTTACATTCAAGAAAATTATTACTCATTTTCTCGAGTTCTCGACCGAGGACTTTACCTTTGGCAGTGAAGATGTACTATTGTACATTAAGAGCGCTGGTTGTGGGGTTCTAGTCAAATACTGAACTAAATAAGTTTGAAATAATAATGTATAATATAACCAGAATATATATATGGGTGAATAGAATGCAGAATGAATCGGCCATGTTTTGTATAACATTTTCAATAATTCTAATATTTCATAACGAATTGCTAATTGGCAAACTGTATATAGACATTATTGGCGCCATAGGCTTTAGTCTAACTCGCTGTATTTCAGGGTCAAGACACCATAAATTAGTCATAGCGGTAAAAACCCAAGATTATAAGTCATACAATGCTGACCAAAGTCAGGTTAAATTAACTTTATGTTGACATAACAATACAGGCATAATGCGATATAAGCTTGAGTAGAGCTACCTGGCCCCCAATACGTGAATGTATGGCTAGTTACCGACTATACAATAATGTTCCAGCTTACCTGGGATGTTCGAAGCGACCTTGTCCATCAGTTAAGTTGTTGAGACGTTTAAAGAAAGCTTTAACAAGTCTAAAACGTGAATATAGTCAAACCAAACGTACATATACTTCCTTGTTATTGCGAACATGAACATTGAGCGTGACCTTTATGCCAACAGGACATGAATATATAAATATTAAAGTTTACAACGTAACGTTGTTAAACAGTGCAACAGACCAGAACAATGAATTTTAAAACTGGGAGCCTGTGTTGGTGTAAGAACATTCGTTTCATGAAAATTTGTTATGTAATTCAGACTAATCAGACATTCAATATCACAAACATTAATCATTATGCAATGAAATTGGATATCTATATAATAGTTTGGATTTAAATTTGCCCGGCATTTTTGGGGATTTGCACAAGTTTTAATTCTTTTAATTAAACCAATTGAACGTCGATGAAAGTTTCCAGTCATAAATTGTTACAGTGGACATTTCAAGTTCTAGATTAACAAAATAAAGGTTTGATGACTGTTCAGGATAAATAAAATACATGAGTGTTTGGAAAGCATTAAGCACATGCAAACTCTCATTCTCGAGTCGTTTGATCCGCGCGCTCTATGTTGCGCTGCGCAAATTAAAACTGTGCACAATTTTCTAGGCAAATGTTCTGCGCGTCAATGCAAATCTGCAAATCTGATATGTTTGTAATTTTCTAAGCTGCAAAAGACCGGTTTAATGTAAGAATTAAGGGATGCTGTCTTTAGATAAATATCAGGTTATGATATGGAAAATGGGCTGATCTCACTCGATTGAACTTCATGTTGAAGGATTTTAATTTGTAGACTGAAAATTCGAGTTTGAATTTTATACATTGATTAAGACCTAACTGGAAGCAGCTGCGTAATACAACTGTCAAGGCCCTCTGGCAGGCATCGAATCTGCGGTCCTGCGATTCCGGTGCAGCGTTCGAACCAACTGGGTCACAGAGACCATGCCAGTTGTCGAGCTCCACTGAGAATCTGAGATGCTACAAAATCCTATATAATAAGTTTCACTTACCATGGCATCGGTCAGCTAGTTTTCCACTGCAATCGTATCGTATCGAAACGTATAGCGTATTCCTTTGTATCGTGAGCGGTAATGTGGAACTATTAATGACTTCGACACAAAAGGCTACGGCTACGGTACGTTACGATACGATACGGTTGAAGCGGAAAACTGGCTTAAGTATCTTGATATAAACATGAACGTATACAGTCAGAGCTCGACAACTGAACACTCTGCTGTAGCTCGGCAGTTGGTTAGCGCGAGATAGCCCATGTAGTTCCATTTCTTGCATGCAGTTGCTTGTTGTTTGGTCTTAATGAATGTATAAAATTCGACATTTCCATCTACAAAATCCTTCAACTTATACTGTCAAGGTGTCCTTGGACGAGAAAAAGTCATTCATCATATCGAATCATAGGCATTATATATTCTCAAATATAGTAAGAAAGTCTTCGAACAGTCATTATTTAAATAATAACTGCACTAGCTGCCACTGTGATATAGTCTGAGACAATATCTAATCGATGAAGAGAGATATCTCCAACATCGGATTTCTTTAAGATTGGTTTACGCTATCGAAGTTTCTGTGATCGGAGTGGAAATCTTGCATAGGGTAAATTCTAAGTTTATCCTGACGCAGATTAACGCGCCAGTTAATTTGGATGCGCAGTGGAAATTTAATTTATTGTGTGTTTTTTTTAAATTTATTGTTTTTCTTGCCTGCAATAACTGATCACAAAATCAAATCAAAGCTACGTATTAAAAATGCCGTCCGATAATTCTTGGGCCAAACAGTGGCTGCTACCAAATGCCGATATTATACACAAATGAACTAAATTTAATATGATCGCACTAAAATAATACTTGTTTACTAATTCAGCTGTATATTTTATAGAATTTTAATTCGCGGCAAAGACGAAATAACTATGCAATAAAGACCGCCGAAATCAGAGTGCATTAAAAGTTTAATAAAACAGCATGATCAAATTATCATTGTTCAAACGTTATGGACATCATCTAAAGCGAATATTGACCGACAGCGCCCCCCTTTGGTGTTTTATATGAAATTTTATATTCAACATCTAATTCCATTTGGTACAGCTGGTTCAAAAAATATTGTGCGCTAACAGGTAATGTTTTAGGTATAGAATTTTATTAAATTGGTTAAGTCAACAAGCTTAATATAAGAGGGTAAACACGTTGAAAAGATTTAAATGCTATTTGTCAACATTTCTATGTAGAAAGGGCTAAAAGGAGCACCGGATCATCAAGCCAAGGAAGGGAACGTGCTTATAAGTTCTAAAAAGTAGAAAAAAATACTTTATTTATTGTGAATTTTAGAATAGTTTTGAAGCTAACTACAAGGGAAGGAAACCGGTTAAAAAGTATAAAAGTTGGGAATGTCGGAGGATTAAAATAGCTTGAAATTGGTTTCTAAATATATCGTTCGCGGTATAGAGAAAAAAACAGTGTCACAGCATGAATTGAACAGTTCGACTGTGGCCATCAAGGACGAGAGAGATAAACTAAACGCTTAGTTCCATATTTTACTAAACTCCTAAATTGAAAACAAAGGAAACTCTGGCTCCATTCCTTTTGGTCATCTAAAAGACGCGAGTTTCAAAAGAACTTCAACACACAAGAGTCGTTTTTAAAGAATTGGGTGTTGGCTCAAGACTGTCGACAGCGATCCGTGTTTATCTCTGGAAAAGCAGCGTTGAGAAAACAGAAGCAATCAAACTCGTGAAAAAGAGGACACTTTTCTAAGCGCCCAAGGAAGAGGTTGCTATTATTTCTTCGCAGGATTTGGAAACTAAACTCCCAAATATTTAACTGTTTTTCGTGGTGAATTTAGATTGGAGAAAATATTTACAGGATACATTCCCAACAAGCCTTGATATAAAGTTGCCGATTTTTGTAGAGGCAACCAAACTAAGTTAAGGATTTTAGGTGGCCACATTCGTATATTCCCTATTCCTAGAATCACCGCTACAGATTGACACTGACTTACTACTGTGCTTTGATAAACAAAACAATCTGTCGTTGCGTGTGCAATTTATTAGATAAATAATTTTTTAAGGATTTGTGGGGTCCTTATTCACATTATTATATAACTTAGTGAGCTTGAATAGACTAACAACGATCCCAGCAACATGACCATGGAATTCTACCAAAACAGCAGTAGTAATGTAAGCACTGCCAACTCGATCATCACACTATGTCACAACGTCGAGGTCCACATTACAGAGAATACTTTGGAATCTGTAATCTCTGATACGGTCTGCTGTTTCATCAACTTATTCATGGCCATCATATCCTTGTGTAGCAACGCTTTGGTGGTGAAAGTCTATTTAAAGCTTACCTCCGGTACAACGAGTGCTAATCTACTCCTAGCTTCCCTTTCGACAACCGAGATCATTAAGTCAGCTCTAGTTCAACCAGCTTTCTCTATATGGAAAATTATGGAAATCGCAAAACTCGATTTTTGCTATCCGTATTTATTCACAATAATCGGCAACAATTTCTGCACTTTGTCGTCATTTCTACATACATGTTTCCTCATCACGATCGAGCGCTATCTCTCTGTTTTCAAGCCGATCCTACATCGGAAACCGATCGTGCGACAGTCGTTTCAGATCGCTGCGGCTTCCACTCAGATTCTTTGTTTAGCTTTTTTGCTCTCGATGTTTTTCACCTCCAACCATCGAACCTATTTCACGGCGATGTCGTTGTTGATCGTGATATGTTTGACTGCAACAGCAGTGATGTATTTTATGATTCGTGCCAGGATGAGGAGGTCGCCGATGCAGAACGCTAAGGTTTTTTTTGTTTGTCTGTTTTTCTCAGCTTGTTTGACTGTCATTATTTATGGCG